AACGCTGCTGCTCTCAGAGGTGATTTGGGGCAGGCTGCTCTGGGGGTCTCTGCCAGGCCCCTCCTGGCACCGTGGGAGGCTGGCGTGTCCTTGCAGGGCTGCAGGAGGGTTGGCGGGATGACCAGATGGGGCCTCCCACAGAGGCGTCCGCGGTGCCAGCTGCTGTGGTCTTTGTCACCAGGGATGGGAGCCCTGGGAGTGAGGTGTGCCATCAGTGGGACGAGTCACCGCGGGGGCCTGAGTGCTGGAGGACGGCACAGGCTTATTTTTAGGGATGTGACGTAACACGGAAGAAATGCATGCACTTGAAGCACGGGAAGGCCGAAATGCCAAACAGTTCTCGTGGCTAAATTTAGCAGACGTGCTCTTTATGTAAGAATGGAGTTAACAAGTATGTGACACAGAAGACTCACGGGAGCCGGCCACCTCGCGTGCCCACCATGGTGTGCTGCTGGGGCCGTTCCCAGGAACACCGCGCTCCGCCCCGGCCGCCACCACAGAAGCAACGGCAGGGGCTGTGAGTGCCCAGGGTCTTAGAGGTTCGACTGCGTTACCCCTGCCTGACCCTGACTCAAGGAGGGAAGCCCCCACTCCGTGCTCTTTCGTCGGTGCCTGAGATGAAATCCAAATCACCAAGAACTCCCACTCCCTTTGGGCTTTTGACACAAAGTGTGCTTTTCAGTGCCTTGTTTCAAGAAACACAGGCTTGAAGAGGCACCTTTCAGAAGCTGAGCAGCAATTCCAGCCCGTTGGGACGCAGAGACCGAGATTTCTGGTCTGATCCCAGGAGTGGGACAGGGCGGCACAGGGCTTTGTGCAACATCACTCAGCCATCGGTGAGTGACAGCTGGGCGGATTCTCAGGCCTGGAATGATGAGGCCAAGGCTTCTGGCCTCTCGTGTAAGGATTCCAGGCTCTGACTCTGACTGGCATCAGCTGGGAATGTGCTGGAAAGGCAGGGTCTCAGGCCCCACACAGACCCACTGGGCCAGAGCCCATATCACGATGAGTCCCAGGAGCTCCTCAGTGGCCTCTTGGAAGCCTGAGCCCCACCGGGGTGAGTGGAATCCCCAGCCTCACACCAGCCCTGCCGGCCGCTGCCGCTCCCATCCTCTGCCTGAGCCGTTTTCTGTTTTCCACACAATGGGAACCCCAGCCCCCAACCCATCAGCACAGAAGGGATGTGATGGGATGAAGGGCAGGGCAGGGCAGGGCAGTCGGGCCCCAGCACACGGCTTGGGGGAGCCTCTCACCTTTGGTGATCCCAAGCCCTCAGTCTGCTGGGAGAACTGTGGCTTACAGGGAAGTGCGGGTGGGAAAGGGGAGAGGAGCAGCGGTGGAGGGCAAGGGCTGAGGCCGTTGCTCCTTGATACACCGTGGGATGAAACCCTTTACTCAGTGAAGACCTAAGACTCCCTCAGGCCTGAAAGCTGGTCTTGGCAGGAGGAGGACACAGATGGGAAGACCTCGGATATGGAGATTGATCCCTGGCTGGCGTACCTGCTTCAGGATCTGACTGCAGCAGCTGAGACCTCAAATAAAGGCCCAGACCACAGCCAAGGCCCATACAGCCCAGCAGGCTCTGGGTCCGGATGAGATGCAGCTGCTCAGCAGTGCCCAGGGCTGCCCCAGAGCCCTCTGGTCCCCAGAGCCCTTCTCCTCCCAGGGGCTCCCACACCCACATCTCTGCTGATTCCCTCACACATGTAGACAAGTCTGTGGCTTCTGTGGAGGCTAATTTTTTTTCTCAAATTTAATTAATTTTGAAAACAGTGAACAATAATGATTGCACACGCAACACCCAGGGCAGACTTTGGCCCTGTGCAAGCAGGAAACACAACTAAAAATGTGAATCTGGGAAGCAAGTGGGCACTGATGGGACGAAGCATGAGCTCCGGGCAGGAGGAACTCTGTTCAGTTCAGCTCCCAGGCAGTCCTGTGCTCGCTGGAGGGCAGGGCCGGCCCAGGGCTGTGCGTGTCCGCCCCGCGCCTGCCTGGGGCCTGTTCTGGCGCTTGCAGCCTCCAGAACGCCCTGTGCTGTGCTGTCACCTCATCTTGGAAACGAGTCCCTAAACCAACCAAGTATTCAAAGTATTCAAAGACCAGAAACTGCAACAGGAAGAAAAATTATTCATTTTGGTTTTGTGCCATCCTTTTCCTTGCTTTCTCACTTTAAAATATTTTGACTTTCTAATCCTTTAGCAGTGAATATGTACTTATAATATTTGCAGAATCTCTGAAATGTGTAATTAAGAAGAAAAATAGTCCTTCAGACTAAACAGCAGAGCATCGGGGATCACAGAGCAACTGTGCTCACGCAGGCAGGGTTTAATTACGGCCTTGATGAAGGACCAGTGGACCCAGAAGAGCCTGCCACGTGTCCCTGGGATGCCTCCCAGGGTGTGGCCGGGGGAGACGGGAGATAAGAAGCTTGGGCATGACTCTGTGAGCTGACATTGCCACGCAGGCGGTGGCTGTCACTGCCTCCCAGATTCATGTCACTCTCTATGACCCAGGGGCTCGGAACAGAGGTTCCCAGGGAACGCTTATTCATGGAGTGAATAAAGGAAGGAGAGAATGAACAAAGGAGCATCAGGCCCGGGCCTCCTGATGGAGCCTGCACATGTGGGGCTCTGGGCGATGCTCTGGGGGTCTTGGTCTCTGCTCTTCACCAGCACCTCTGCCCTAATGTCTCCCAGGCACGGCTGCCGGCCAGGGGCAGACAAAGACGAAGACTCAGAGGTGGTGCCTCTAACACACCGGGGATCCCACCTGGACCTTGAAATCCCCCCCAGGCTACAGAAGCCCCCGAGACCCCTGGCTGCTCCCTTTCCTATGGAAGCCTGGGGCAGACGGCGTTGTCACTGCTGTGATTTCACACACCGGAGCCAGCTGTCAGCCACGGTGTGCGATGGCAGAGGCCTCAACGTTCCCCTCTCCCTGGCTGAGCTGGGTGTAGCCATGCGCCCCAGGACCCTCCTGAGGGCCTTCCTCAAGGGCTCACAGCCATGTGCACTGGAGCTGGGCCCCCAACACTCAACTCAGTCTTCTCTGAACTCCACTGGAAGCCATGGGCGACAGCGCATCTTAGACGGGCCCACAGGTCAATGCAGTCCCCAGCCGGGTGGCTCCTGCAGGTGCCTTCAACCCACTCAGGGAGGGCGGTGGGGCCAGGCGCTGTCCTGACCAGATGGCAACAAGCAGACTGCGTGAGAATCAGACTGACTGGGGCCTGGCTGTGGCTGCTCACCAGTGGGGAGCACACCTCACCACTCCCCTAAGCCTCAGCTTCTCCATCCATGCAGTGAGTTGTTTTCAAGCCTAACTGAAGTAACACAGACAGTGGGCTCACGGTAACACCCGCCAACATCAGCCGCCACCACCTTATCCACTGGTCACGTGACGTGGTTTGCCTGTGTCCCCACCCACATCTCATCTTGAATTGTAACTCCCACGATTCCGACGTGTTGTGGGAGGGCCTCAGTGGGAGGGAACTGAATGTTGGGGGCGGTTCCCCCAGACTGTTCTTGTGGACGCGAATGGGTCTCACGAGGTCTGATGGTTTGATAAGGGGTTTCCCCTTTCGCTTGACTCTCATTCTCTCTTCTGCCTGCTGCCATGATTGTGAGGCCCCCTCAGCCACACGGAACTGTGAGTCCATCAAAGCTCTGTTTCTTGTAAATTACCCAGTCTCAGGTACATCTTTACCGGCAGGGTGAAAATGAACTAATATACCAGGGTCAGGAGTTTTATCTTCCAGTTGTTGGGATATTGGTCACTGCATAAGATACTTCCTTTCCTAGGGTTTAATAATTTGGTGGAGAGAGAACTGGCTTAGAGTTGTGAATCTGAGAGAAGTGAGCAGAGGAAGCCTCTGGGAGAAAGTTGGGCTCATTCTCCCAAGAGGCAGCCAGGCAGCAATGCCACCATCCCCTGGGGACCCCGAGGGCAGAAGCCACACCTCCAGGAAGGGCAGGTGGAGCAGGGTCAGGGCAGGAGGCGATAGGCCCATGAGCTGATGGTTTTGCCGGGAATTCTGTGGGCTTGCAGGAGAAAGTTTGCATGTGGGGAGTGCGACCCTTCCCAGGGCTCCTTAGAGCAGCCTCCAGTGCATCCCCTGCCCCCTGCCTCGCCTGTGCAGGGAGCACCCTCTGCACACACCTCTGGCTGCGGGTTGGTAGGGCGCCGGGCACCCACACGGTGCTGCCAGGGCTGCGGGGAAGGATGGAGGTCTGTCTGCTGATAAACCACAGGCCAATGTTGCGGAGAGTGAGCCCTTAGGAGGAGCGGCCACTTGAGGCAGAGCTGGGGAAGTTGGCACAGATGGAGCAGAGCTTAAGGCCACGCATCCCACACTTGGGAGAAACATCCTCATTACTGAAACATCACAGCCCTGCAGAAGGGTTCGCAGTGGACATAACGCCCGAGAGCCCCAGGTCACTGCAGCAAGTTTGTGCAGCCTGGATGGGGGGTCCCCAACTCACCCTGGGACCCCTGCTCCCAGACGCCTCCTGGCCGAGGACAAGCCAGGTCTCTTAGCTTGAAAAGACACCCTAATTGTGGTCACATCTCCTGCTGCAGGCTCAGGGCTCAGGAAACCATGGCACTGGCTTCTCAATGCCCCAGAATGTGGCAAAATCTTAAATGGGACAAGAAATCCAAATGCGGAAAGGGTGTGCTCTCCAGGACCCGTCTGAAAAGTTACTTTCGGGCAGGCGGGGCCGCTGTTAGATTCTCCTCACCATCTCCCAGACATGCACACAGCAGGTCGGGAAAACCTGCCTTTCCCTGCCCGCAAAATGACGGAACAATCAAACAATCCCAAGTGCGGCAGCAGAATGGAAACAGGGACTCCGCTTAACTCGGAAGCGGGAAGTAGCGTCGGTACTCAGAGGATTATTTAGGGGAAATATCTACATAATTCTTGCAGGGCAGGAGGGGGCTGCTGGTGCAGTGTCAGGAAGCGGAACCCACCACCGTGGCAGCACGCGGGAGCCTACCTTGCTCTCGTCCTCCGGGTTGCTGTAGCCACAGGCATCGACGAAATCCGGGAACGTCTTCGACCATCCGTCACTCGTACAGTTTTTGCTTATGTTTCCTGGAAAGTGAAGTTCAGATATTTTATCTGCAAGTCCATGAAAACTGGCCTTAGAAGGGACCTTAGTCTGTGCTGGGCCCGTGTGCTCTAAAAATGCTTCCCATGCCCAGGGCTCAGCTAGGAGACAGGGCTGCCACTCAAAAAACCTTCCTTGGCCTCCCAGTCCACGTGACCTGGCCCGCGGGTCACCTCTCGGGGCTGGTGGGGCCTGAGATGAGAGTGAACGCGCTGTCGTAAGTCAGAATTACCACAACTGTAAATGTAGTTCTCCTGGGGCAGAACGAAAATTCTTCACAGACTCTTAGGTTCTGCCACCATAAGTGATATTTACAGCCAAGCCTTGGCCGTCCTGGAGCCAGGTGCCCGGCCTGCTCCGTTCCTGACAGCACCCTCCCTCCTCCCAACGCAGCACCTCCCTCCTCCCGGCAGGCCCTCACCACCGACAGTGACCAGGTGCCCAGCCTGCTCCACCGTTCCTGACGCACCTTCCCTCCTACCAGCCAGGCCCTCACCACCAACCATGACCCAGTAGGGCAGGCTCCATCCAGTTCCTGACATCCAGTTCCTCCCTCCTCCCGGCCAGGCCTTCACCACTGATGGTGACTGGGTGCCTGGCCTGCTCCGGTCCCGACAGCACCCTCCCTCCTCCCGGCCAGGCCCTCACCACCGATGGTGACTGGGTGCCAAGCCTGCTCCGTTCCTGACAGCACCTTCCCTCCCCTGCCAGCCAGGCCCTCACCACCAACCATGACCCAGTAGGGACAGGCTCCATTTAGCCACTGGTGTTGGAAGAAAGGATGGCGGGATTACAGTTTAATTGTAGGAAATCGACAATTGTGCCCTTACAATTTCATTGTTTGCTCCTAAGGAACTAAAATCATACGTAAGCTCAGAAATTCAATGTTCCTTGTATTTGTGTGTCCTCAGCAGCAGCCAGGCCCTCACCACCAACCATGACCCAGTAGGGCAGGCTCCATTTGGCCACTGGTGTTGGAAGAAAGGATGGCGGAATTACAGTTTAATTGTAGGAAATCAAGGCAATTGTGCCCTTACAATTTCATTGTTTGCTCCTAAGGAACTAAAATCATACGTAAGCTCAGAAATTCAATGTTCCTTGTATTTGTGTGTCCTCAGCAGACGGCCACATAGAACAGTAGGTGATAGAGCTCTCAAAGCTGTCTGAGCTGTAAGAATAAAACCAGGCACTGAACGCCGTGCCAGCCTTGCCCCGAGCATGGCTGCATGGCGTCAGGATCACCCCCACAGCAGAGCCCAGGAAGCCAGACCCCTCCATGCACTCCTGCACCTGGCATGGCCAGAGTGGGGCCCCTGTCTCCCTGCCCGGGGGACTGGAAGGGTCTGGGGCTTTGGATTTAGCAAATATTTTCACTCCCATGACTTTTTAATTTCAAGACAACCTTGCAAGACAGACTTGGTGGGCACTGCGGTTCCCATTTTACAGAAGGGGAAAACAAGGCTTTGAAGACTCGGTTTCTGAGTGGGGTGCACACATGATTCTTGTCATGCAGTGGTGAGAGGCAGAGAGAGGGCTGGCTGGGCCAGGCCCTGGCTCTACTGGGGAGAGTGGGGTAGGAGACTGGTCTCAGCAAGGCCACAGGGCTGGCTCTGCCCACTGGCACCCCGACACCATCACCAATCAGGGGCTCTGACTACAAGGCCCACACCTCACACGGGGAGCCCCAGTAAGGTCTGGGGGCCGCTTAGCTGCAGAGACCCCATACACAGTACAGGCAAAACAGAGCCCTAAAAGGGGCGAGACTCCTAGAGACCTGGTCCCACTGCCCCATTGTGTGGACAAGGAGACAGGTCCACAAAGATAAATGATGTGCCCACCACAGACTCAGGAACAGCACTCTTAATAGTTATTATCATAACAGTAGTCATGTGGTAGTGGCTGCTACGACTCACTGAGCCCTCAGGAACGCCAGGCTCTGTGCCTGCATCCACCCAGTTAATCTTGACAGCCACAGGAGGCGGCTCTCCAATTAATCTCAGAGATGAGACGGCGAGGGCTGAGGAAGGAGTGTCACTTGCCCAAAGTCATACTGGTAAGTGACGGGCCAAGCGCCACACCTGACAGCCTGGCTCTCACCTGAGCAGGGCACCTACAGGCCCCGATCCTGAGTCTGGAAGCCAGGACCTCGGTGGGAGCTGAGCCTGTCACTCATCCTCTGCGAGGTGCAGCCTTTTTTCCTTCCTACAGGAGATCAGTGTTTACCAATCCAAAGAAGATACTTAAATAAAACTCCAAAAACTCAGTCAGTCAGTCATTCTGTGAAGTGCAGATTCCCTCACAGGTTTTTTATCCTTTCTGACTTCTCACTCCTGAGACACACGGGGCAAATGTGGCAGGAGAGGAAATGCCTGAGGTGGCAACCTGCAGAGATCAGGGAGGTGCAGAGAGAGGCCGGGGAGGTGCAGGGAGGGGCAGAGAGAGGCCAGGGAGGTACAGAGAGCCTGAGACACGGGGCAAATGTGTGGCAGGAGAGGAAATGCCTGGAGGTGTAAGTAACCCTGCAGAGATCAGGGAGGTGCAGAGAGAGGCTGGGGAGGCAGGGAGGGGGCAGAGAGGCTGGGGAGGTACAGAGAGGCCGGTGGGGAGGTGCAGAGAGAGAGGCTGGGGAGGCAGGGAGGGGCAGAGAGAGGCCAGGGGGAGGTACAGAGAGTTGGGAGGTGCAGGGAGGGGCAGAGAGAGGCCGGGGAGGTGCCGTCAGAGGCCAGGGAAGTGCTGAGAGAGGCTGGAAAGGGGCAAAGAGGCCGGGAAGGGGCAGAGAGGCCAGGGAGATGCAGAGAGAGGCCAGGGAAGGTCAGAGAGGCCAGGGAGGTACAGAGAGAGGCCAGGGAGGTGCAGGGAGGGGCAGAGAGAGGCCAGGGAGGCACAGAGAGAGGCCGGGGAGGTGCTGAGAGGCCAGGGAGATGCAGACCGAGACCATCCAGGGGCAGAGAGGCCAGGGAGGGGCAGAGAGGCCAGGGAGATGCAAAGGAAGGCTGTGGGGCACGGGGGCACGCTCTCGCCCACTTGCAAGATGACGAATACTCGAAGGCCTCCCTTAGGGCTTCAGTGCTCTCAGCGACTATTCCAAGCCCCATGAGGCTACATCATCCTCCACTGGGGGATGTGCTGATGCCCCTTTAAAGGCTCAGAACCACACCTGGCCCTACACCTGTGCTGGATGGGCGGCTGAGCTGCTGCCCTGGGTCTGGCTACAACAGTGCCATGCAGAATTGGCAGGTGGGCACCAGGAGCAACTGGAAACACAGAAAACAAGTCAAGGGAGAGAGGCCAGCACACAGCTGTTGGAGCTGCCTCCTGGGCCCTGAGCATGGGGCTTGAACAGGAGCTGTTCACAGAAGGCTGTCCTCCCGATGATGAGTCCTTATGCCTCTCATCCCAGCTCCCGCTTCCTTTTTCCCCTCTATGCAGACAACTGGCTCATTGCCTCCTGGAGGGGATGGGGCAGGAAATGCCTGAAGCACCTGATCCTCACAGCTTTCCCCAAGCAGCAGCGGTAAAGTCCAGCCCGGGTGGGGAGAGCACCTGCATCCCAGGTCCCACTGCTGCAGGGCAGGGTTAGGACCTGCAGAAGGAGCTGCCCACTGCTTCTGGACACGGCCCAGGGTCCCGTCTGGCACAGAGATGTAGGGTGCCAGTGTGCTGGTCACTGATGATGAGCCGGGCACGCGTGATGGTGCCCAGAGGCCACCTGCCTAGTGTAGGACAGACACCCCCAAACCTCCCACCTGCTGGAAGGATGAGAAATCAAAAGAGAAAACAATGCTTCATTAGAATGGTGACTTATTTCTGGAACACCTGGGTTTGTGGGCGGAAATGATTCCGCGTGTGTTCTGTGACCCAGCTTTCCTTATAGGTCACGGGAGGAGCAGCCATCACATGTGTAGAGTGTTCTGTAGACCACAGAGCACCACGCAGATGCGAGCCTGACTTTTGTTTCATTTCAAGACTCTCCAGTTATCCCTGCCGAATTTAGTCTCTGAAGCCTCAGCCCCTGTGGTACGATGCCAGGTGGTTTCACCCCAGTCCTGCTTGGCCCCCAGCCACATCCACATCTCTCTAAGTATTTGCAAAGGATGCCCATTTAATGCCCCAGGGATGAATTCCATGCGGACACTCCATGGGGACCATCTGTCCACAGTTTGTGCATGTCATCACATAGCTCACGTTTTTCCGATGGGTTGAAAAAGTAGCAGCGTATTTCCCCTGCATTTCAGATCATCTAGCTGCAACTACTCAGACTTGGGGAAACACCACAGGTTTCCTCACACTAGCAAGGTGGTGTCATGCTCCCCGCTTGGGAAAAAGGTGGAAGAAGCATTTCACCCAAAACCGACTGGGAGTTTTCACACTTCCAGGGGGCCTAGGATGCTTCCAGGCAGGGCCAGAGCCTCACTGACCTGGGCGCCTGGTGCCCAGATGGCTTCTGTCTGGCAGACGCCGGACTGTGTTTTGGTGTTTGCCAGTGTGCAAACTACCAGGCTGCTGGGTGCTTTCTGGAAGCCTCAGAACCATGCCATCGACTAGGAAAAGCCGGAGTCCATGCCAATTCTCTCCAGAGCTCCAGAAGAATGGATGCAGCCCAAGCTGCTCAGTAGAAATGCTACTGATTGGAGGGAACAGTTCTTAAAGTCCAGGTTCTCTAAAGTGACTTCAGTTCTAACTCAGGGGTGGGTAATGATGCTGACGCTAGTATGGTCCCCACCTTCAGGCTGCTCTGTTGGCAAGTCGGGGTGAGAAAGTCAAAATCTTCCTTTCGGAATCTCCTTCTCCTCTGTCCCAATCTCTTTTCCAATAATCTGCTTTCAAACACTACAGCATTATTACTTCCCAAAGTCCTTACCCTTTAACCTCTGTCTAAGATAAAAGCAAATTCTCCATAGTGTTTCAAAGTATTATACTTTCTGTTTCCAGATGTTTCTTATGTTTTCTATTTTTCTCAATAGATTTCTTCACACTGTGAAAATCTGAATCACTCACAAAAACAAAACCCTTCTCTCAGGATTCAGCCAAGAGATATTTGCAGTACTGCATACAGAGCATGCCCTGGGTGCCGAGGAGGAGCCTGGAAGCCCAGAGAAACAGCAAATTCCAGGCAGCATCAAGCCAGTGAGGTGGCAGGGAGGTCGGGGGAATGGGTTCGGTAAACTAGGTGCGTCCTGGGGCCTCAGACCTGAGCATGGAGGCTCTGGGTGCCACACTTCTCACTTCTCAGAAACTTCCAGAGTGTGCTCTCCAGGGTCCACAGGCCGACTCAGCAGGAGGAGGGGAGCCTCCTTTATGCCTCCCTTGCCTCCCGTCCCCTCTCATGCATGTTTCCCATGCTTTGGTTCCCATGTGGCTCCTGTCTAACCTGGTTCTTTCCCTGCAGTTGCTCTGCTCTCTGCGGTTTGGCTGAAGGCAGGTGATGCCCTTCTGCTCCCTAAGACGGGCACTCACCCCAGTATGCCACAGCCATTCCCTGACCCCCAGGGTGGGAGGAGATGCCTGAAGGAAAGTGATGTTCCTGCTTCTTGGATGGAAAAAATGGACGCTCAGATGAAAACACCCTGGAGGAGCTCAGGAACTCAACCCACGGACAGTACCTGCTTTGCTGTAAAAATTGCTGAAGACTTTTGGGCAGGGCACCGTGACCGTCTCTCCCACGTTGGCAGGCCGCCAGCATGTGATGTTGTCCCAGACGCCACTGCAGGCTGGAAGGAGAAAAGCAGAGTGAGGCAGGTGCAAGGTGAAAGAAGCATCACAAATAGAAATGCCATTCATGAGATAACTGCCTCGCAAACTCCTTTTCTGTGAAACATGCTTGCACCAACGCAATTATTGAGACTATAGTTAGCTTGTGGGTTCATCTCAATGAGCTTTGGAGGAATAACCATATGGTGGTATAAAGCATTTGAGTAATTCAATGTATACCGTGTACCTTCTGAATTTTAAGAGAATCATTACTTACTTCTTGTGATCAGCATTTCCCAGTGTGACAAAGTGGGCACCACTGGGTATTAGTGCAAGGGCCCGTTGGGGAGGGTGACGCCCGGGGAAAGTGTGCTTGTGCTTCTGTAGAATCTGACTTCAATGATTATTTGCAAATTGAAGTATTTGATAATATTTGGTTGATTTTTCACTGTCAAGATGCCTTATTAGCAACAAAATCTTAGGTTACCTGCATGGAGTTATCAAATAATTTTCATAATGCGTAGCTTAAACCTTTTTAGACCTCTTATTTGGTATTAATAACCACCTGGTGAAGGTAAGATATAAAAATATTGCATTAATTATCTTCCAGATGAAAAGCAGTAAGGTTCAAATCATTTAATGACTTCTCAATATCACACAACTGTGATGGAATCCATGTGTAAATCCAGTACTTTTTCCTACTTGTCCATGGTATTTACACTATATTTGAGACCTCTAAAATTTTATCTCATACTTAAACCTCAATACCAGAAAAGCAATGTGCTGGCCTCGGTAAAAACTAACAAACAAACAAGCAAACAAACGTCAGTTTTCCTTTCAGCATAGGCCACCCAGACCTGTGCAGTAACTGTAGGAATACATCCATGGGGAACACACGGCTTTGGTGTGAACACAGGAGTGTTTTACTTTCAAGAACACAGAAATGTCTCTGAAAAGTTGGCCATGAGCTAAGTTTTGCAGATGAAAATAGTTTCTAAATACTTTCAATAAAAGTGAAAATATATTTATTATAAAATAAAATTACATACCAATACTTGAGTAAGTACGTAAATTCATATTACATTAATGTTAACATATTTAAAGAAAATGTTGATTTTCTTTTAAAATGTTCAAAACAAGTGATCAAATACAAATGCATCACTAGAAACTCCAGATGTGCCTCAGGCCCACCAGGTATGAGCGCCCATGTAAGGCTGCTTAGAGTCTAAGTAGTAGAGTTATTTAAGTGCTAAGTTCATAAACCAAGCACCTCTAACTCTGGTGTGTAGGGCAGGTGGTGGAGAGGTGTCAGGATGGGGTTCCTAGCCAAGAGTGAACAGGGTGGAGAGGAAAGTGAAGATGTCTAGGCCTCTAAGTGAAGACTCTGCACGAGATCAGCCAAGTTCTGTCCATCTCCTATAAAACAGCAAGCTCTGGCAGTTTTGTGGCTGGTTATTTTGAAGGTTCAGCTTTTTACCACAAAACGACAAATTTCTGCCTCGATAATAGTAATGGCTGGGTGCAGTGGCTCACGCCTGTAATCCCAGCACGTTGGGAGGCCGAGGTTGGTGGATCATTTGAGGTCAGGAGTGCGAGACCAGCCTGGCCAACATGGTGAAACCCTGTCTCTACTGAAAATACAAAAATTAGCTGGTTGTGGTGGTACATGCCTGTAATCCCAGCTACTCAGGAGGCTAAGGGAGGAGAATTGCTTGAACCCAGTAGGCAGAGGTTGCAGCAAGCCGAGATTGCACCATTGCACTCCAGCTTGGGTGACAAAGCAAAACTCAGTCACACAAAAGCAAAGTAATAATTATATGATATTGCTATTTTAAAACAATGGGCTGGGTGCGGTGACTCATGTTTGTAATCTCAACACTTTGGCAGGCTGAGGCAGGATGATCCCTTGAGCTCAAGACTTCAAGACCAGCATGGGCAGCATAGCGAGACCCCATCTCTACAGAAAATATTTAAAAATTCGCTGGAGGTAACAGAGCATGTCTATAGTCCCAGCTACTTGGGAGGGTGAAGTGGGAGGATCACTTGAGCCTGAGAGGTCGAGGTTGCAGTGAGTAAAGATCATGCCACTGCACTCCAGCCCCAGCGACAGAGCCAGACCTTGCTTCAATAAATACACAATAAATAAGATAATATATAATAAGATAACTAATACATAATATAAATTATAATGCAATAATTATATATTGTATAATACTAATTGCTGCTTTAAATTGCAACAGAGATACTAAATGCATACCACATCAAACTGCCTTTGAATTACAGTAGGATTTGATTCAAATGTCTAGAGCTTGTCATCTGATCCCTTCAATGTCTAGGTAAAGCCTTCCGTTCATTTGTTCCTTTATTGAACCGCACGTGAGGGAACAGAGCTAGAAGCTGTCAGGATGTGAGGACGCGGACTGGAGGGTGTCAGGACCCCGACGCTGAGCCAGCAGCCGGAAGTGCAGCCGGAAGTGCAGCGGGAAGCGCAACCACAGTACCGGGGGCGCATGCGTGGCACAGGCTGCAACCTCCCGGCAACAGCGGCCAGGAGGGAATGTAGGCGTTTCTCCCTCAGCTTCTCAACCTCACGGAAAGGACAGCCAAAAATTTGAAAGGGCAGCACCAAGAGATGTCCCTACGGCCTTGCAGACAGAAGCAACTGTGTTAAACAGCCAGGCAGAGGACGGGGAGTTGCGAGAGACAGGCCATCGGTGCCCCCCGCACTGGCACGGGCTGAGGACGCTGCAGGGAACCGCGTCCAGGTGGAGTCCCGGGCTCTGAGACTGCAGCCTCCTGGAGGCCGGGCCACGCACCGACCTGGGACCGGCCCGGCCGAGAACCCCGACTGTGAGGAGGCGGCTCACACGGCCTACCTGTGACCAGACCCGGCGGAGAGCCCCGACTGTGAGGAGTCTTATGGCGCCTACCTGGGACTGACTCTGTCTGTGAGGAGGAGGCTCAAGGGACCTACCTGGGACTGGACCCGGCTGAGAGCCCTGACTGTGAGGAGGCGGCTCACACGGCCTACCTGTGACCAGACCCGGCGGAGAGCCCCGACTGTGAGGAGGAGTCTTATGGCGCCTACCTGGGACCGACTCTGTCTGTGAGGAGGAGGCTCATGGGACCTACCTGGGACCCGATCTCGACTGTGAGAGGAGACTCACGGCACCTTCCTGGAGCCAGACCCCCGCCCGAGGACCCCGACCGTGTGAGCAGGCGGCTCACAGTGCCTGCCTGGGGCCAGACCCCAGCCCGAGGATCCCATCTGGGCAAGGAGGGGGACTACAGAGGGAGTGGCTCTAGGAGAAAAAATGGAACCCTGAGACCACCTCATGAGTGCAGTGTCTCGAGAGTGTTTGGCTGTTGCTGTTCTGGCCCGAGGTTTGATGCCTAATTATTTACAGGTAGGTGAAAAACCCAGCAACAGAAAAACGAGGAAAAGCATAAAGTTCTGAAGAAAGGAAATGCTGAATATTATGTGGATCAACTGTGATGGCAATAATGTACGCCAGCAATGTGAGGTGAGTCCATCAGGAGGCTGGCGGGATGATAAATTATGCTTGGGTGGTGAGAACGGCACAGGAGAGAGAGATCTTTATTCTTGTTAGAAATCTAATGGACACTGATGTAAATTGGGAGGAAGAAAGAAACGAAACAGGAGCATAAGTATGTTGTTTAGAAATAAAATAAATACCAGAGAAGAGATGAAAGAGATGCTGCCATAAGGCTGAGAACTGGGGATGAGGAGGGGCTGAGGAGGGGCCAGAGACTATTATCTTCATTCAGCCTTGTAGTATCATTTGCCTTTTACAACTTTACAAATGCCCTCTTTGTTGAAAACTAGCATTTAAAGTGTATCATAATATTAAGATACCCATTTTTAAATGTTTACATTTTTAAGAAACATTGTGCAGGCCAAAGCAAAATAGTGCGTGAACAGGCCATCAGTTCAGTGTCGGACAGAAGTGATTCAAATTCAGCACAGCGAATTTGGGAGAGGCAGCGAAAATTCGGGAGAGGCAACAAGTCCTTCTGTAGGAGTGTGCGCGGAGTCACAGGATGGCATGGGAGGAGAAGGGGAGGCAGGCAGGGGCCACCCCCGAGAGAAGCACAGCCACGTGGAGACGCCTGTTCGTTTGGAAAGCAGTGGGCAGCGGAGATTTCATGAAACAAAGGATTTGCGATGAAGGTAGTGAGAAACAAACAAAAGTGCTCAGATAAGGCAGTCAGGGAAATGGGACTTGTTAAGCTCTGGTGGCAACCTATGTTTTCGAGATGGTGATCATAAAATCAAAGGTCGCTCTGAAAAGTGGAAAATGTTTGTATCAATAGGCTCTGAAAAGTTACTTGGTGAAATTCAGTGACCATTTCTAACTTATTTAAAGCCCTAAATAAAAGAGTAAAATAATGAGATTCCCTTAACATCACAGAGAATATTTGTTAAAAATAGCAAGTCCTAAGCCAGGCACCGTGGTAAGTGCCTGCAGTCCCAGCCACCCAGGAGGCTGAGGCAGGAGGATCGCTTGAGCCCAGAAGCTTGAGTTCAGCCTGGGTGACTGAGTGAGGCCCTGTCTCAAAGAAAAGAAAAGAGGAAAGAAAAAAACAAAGAAAGAGAGAGGGGGTGAGAGGAAGAGAAAGGAAGAAGGGAGGGAGGGAGGGGGAGGGAAGAAGAAAGAGAAAGAAAGAAAGAGCAAATATTAGACATGTTTAAACACAATTGTACAACTGAGGAGCCAGGTTGGGTACTTGCAATCCATTATTCAACAGTGGGTTATAAGTTTCAGCTAAAACAGCAGATAAAAGAAAATGCTAAGAGGTATAAACTGGTATAAAAGTAGAGAAAAAACCCTAGAACTGTACTTTCTGTATGGCAACCACTAGTCTCACATGGCCATTTAAATGAAAGCTAATTAAAATGAGATGCAGTTAAAGGTTTGGTTCCTCAGTTGCACCCTCCACATCTGAATGTTCCACAACGGAACATGGCTGGTAGCCATCACACCGGCATTTCCACTAC